TTTCCAAACGCCTGAAGGTACATTTACATTTTAGTAATTTAGCCGACCACGTTCATCTGTACAAACAATAGTACGCAAGTATAAACACCATGGGACCATGCAGCCGTCATACCGCTCAGGAAGGAGACGCGTCTGTCTCCTAGAGATGAACGTACTTTGGTGCGAAAAGTGCAAATCAATCCCAGAACAACAGCTAAGGACCTTGTGAAGATGCTGGAGGAAACAGGTACAAAATTATCTATATCCACAGTAAAACAAGTCCTATATCGACATAACCTGAAATGCCGTTCAGCAAGGAAGAAGCCACTGCTCCAAAACCGCCATAAAAAACCCAGACTACGGTTTGCAACTGCACATGGGGACAAAGATCGTACTTTTTGGAGAAATGTCCTCTGGTCTGATGAAAAAAAAATAGAATTGTTTGGCCATAATGACCATCGTTATGTTTGAAGGAGAAAGGGGGTGCTTGCAAGCCGAAGAACACCATCCCAACCGTGAAGCACGGGGTGGCAGCATCATGCTGTGGGGGTGCTTTGCTGCAGGAGGGACTGGTGCACTTCACAAAATAGATGGCATCATGAGGAAGGAAAATTATGTGGATATATTGAAGCAACATCTCAAGACATCAGTCAGGAAGTTAAAATTTGGTCGCAAATGAGTCTTCCAAATGGACAACGACCCCAAGCATACTTCCAAAGTTGTGGCAAAATGGCTTAAGGGCAACAAAGTCAAGTTATTGGAGTCGCCATCACAAAGCCCTGACTTCAATCCTATAGAACATTTGTGGGCAGAACTGAAAAAGCATGTGCGAGCAAGGAGGCCTACAAACCTGTCTCAGTTACACCAGCTCTGTCAGGAGGAATGGGCCATAATTCACCCAACTTATTGTGGGAAGCTTGTGGAAGGCTACCCAAAACATTTGACCCAAGTTAAACAATTTAAAGGCAACGCTACCAAATACTAATTGTGTGTATGCAAAATTCTGACCCACTGGGAATGCGATGAAAGAAATAAAAGCTGAAATAAATCATTCTCTCTACTGTTATTCTGACATTTCACATTCTTAAAATAAAGTGGTGATCCTAACTGACCTAAGACAGGGAATTTTTAAAAGGATAAAATGTCAGGAATTGTGAAAAACTGAGTTTAAATGTATTTGGCTAAGGTGTATGTAAACCTCCGACTTCAACTGTACATACACACAGTGCATTCGTAAAGTATTCAGACCCCTTCCCTTTTTCCACATCTTGTTACGTGACAGACTTATTCTAAAATTGATTAAATAAATAAAAATGTCAATCTACACACAATACCCCATAATGACAAAGCGAAAACAGGTTTTTAGAAATTGTTGCAAATTTATTACAAATAAAAAACAGAATTATCTTATTTACATAAGTATTCAGATCCTTTGCTATGAGACTCACATTTGAGCTCAGGTGCATCCTGTTTCCATTGATCATCCTTGAGACGTTTCTACAACTTGATTGGAGTCCACTTGTGGTGAATTCAATTGATTGGACATGATTTGGAAAGGCACACACCCGTCTATGCAAGGTCCCACAGTTGACAGAGCATATCAGAGCAATAAACCAAGCCATGAGTTCGAAGGATTTGTCCGTAGAGCTCCGAGACAGGATTGTGTAGAGGCACAGATCTGGGGAATGGTACCAAACAATGTCTGCAGTATTGAAGGTCCCCAAGAACACAGTGGCCTCCTTCATTCTTAAATGGAAGAAGTTTGGAACCACCAAGACTCGTCCTAGAGCTTGCCGCCCGGCCAAACTGAGCAATGGGGGAGAAGGGCCTTGGTAAGGGAGGTGACCAAGAACCTGATGGTCACTCTGACAGAGCCTCTGAGTTCCTCTTTGAGATGGGAGAACCTTCCAGAAGGACAACCATCTCTGCAGCAGTCCACCAATCAGACTGGGGCGAAGGTTCACCTTCCAACAGGACAACGACCCTAAGCACACAGCCAAGTCAATGCAGTAGTGGCTTCGGGACAAGTCTTTGAATGTCCTTGAGTGGCCCAGCCAGAGTCTGGACTGGAGAGACCTGAAAATACCTGTGCAGCGACGCTCCCCATCCAAGGTGACAAGAGATTGAGAGGATCTGCAGAGAAGAATGGGAGAAACTCCCCAAACACAGGTGTGCCAAGCTTGTAGCGTCATACCCAAGAAGACTCGAGGATGTAATCACTGCCAAAGGTGCTTCAACAAAGTACTGAGTAAAGGTTCTGAATACTTATGTAAATGTGATCATTTTTTATTAGTTTTAATGTGCAAAAATGTCTAAAAACCTGTTTTTGCTTTGTCATTATGGGGTATTGTGTGTAGATTGATGAGGAAAATAAACGATTTAATCAATTTTAGAATAAGGCTGTAACGTAACAAAATGTGGAAAAAGTCAAGGGGTCTGAATACTTTCCGGATGTACTGTAGGTGTAAAGGTCAAGACACATTTCAGTAATCATGGTGACAGACATACACATTCAATACTACCTTGCACAATCTTGTCTGTATTTAGCTGATCTAGGGTGTACTCATTAGTCCAACAGTTGCAAACAAGAGTTTCTATTGGACAAATCTCAGTGTCTATCCCCATTTCGTTCACTTCGTTTTAACAGAATGGGTGGAATAAATACACCCCTGATCACACGCAAACACCGATCACTTTCATAGCAGCCATATGAAAACAGCATGACCCCTCTGACCACTGGATCATTCCTTCTCGCATCTACGCGCTCTCCTCAGCTCACCTTTTCCCTTCACTTGTCGACATGAGACATAACAGGCTCAGTCTGCATGGAAGAGAGTCTGAGATGAATGGTAAGTCTTACCTACAGCACTGGTGGAGTTGCTTCCTGTACAATTATGAGGCGTTTTCTTTGTTGTCCGGGACACCGATGACCAATAAACAGGGAATCCCAGCGGAATGAATGCAATGCATCATACCACTCAATAAATGATAGTAGACATTAGTCACCTTAATCAAGAGGATATATGGCACAAACTAGTTAATATAAATGAAATACTGATTCAATTGTATTGACCCTACTAAAATAGCCTGCTATAGTATTGTACGTTAAGAAATGCACTGAACCGTTGCCATCTAGGACATATAAGTTATTCAGTCCCCAATTACAAAACAAATGAGTCAATATGTCTAGGTTGAGGTCAAGACCTATTGCTTCACTATTGTCCACTTTCACTTCAGATTCTTCATAGAAAAGACCAGTAAGCACTATCGCAGAAGGTTTTGTTGATGGGGCTTTGAACAATTTTGTATGATTATTTTTTCCACACTGTGCCCTTTAAGCTGATGAAGTGCTGCTTCTACAGCACACAAATCTATATTACGCACCGTAAATAATTATGAATATATTCATTGTAAATGTAATAATTATAAAAGTAGGACTGATGCAAGGTTTTTGTCAAACAGAAAGGTCAAATATTTTTTTAAAGCTTTTCCCAGTATTCCCAAGTTGGCAATTACCTGCCTGCCCAATAAAAAATGTAAAAGCACCAGAATCCAGGGAGACAACCATGCGAGCGGTGATGGCAATGAATATCAGTATAAAGTTTAGAAACCAGGAAAAAAGGGCTATAGGTGCATTTTAATGCCAACATATATACACTGAGTATACTGAGCACCCCCCCTTGTCATCAGAACAGACTCAATTCGTCGGGGCATGGACTCTACAAGGTGTCGAAAGTGTTCCACAGGGAAGCGGGCCCATGTTGACTCCAATGCTTCCCACAGTTGTGTCAAGTTGGCTAGATGTCCTTTGGGTGATGGACCATTCACAGGAAACTGTTGAGCATGAAAAACCCAGCTGCGTTGCACCTACTACCATACCCCGTTTAAAGGCACTTACATTTTTTGTCTTGCCCATTGACCCAGTATATGTCATGGAAAGAGCAGGTGTTCTTAACGATTTGTACACTCAGTGTATGTATATACACATGTATAAAAATGTATTCTGTAAAAATACAAGAATTCCTTCCAAATTTTTGCCCAATCAGGACAATCACCTTTTCAGTCACCTGAATAACTAATCTTGCGGTCCTATGTAGCTGACGGACAAAAATGTTAATGAGTAGTTCTGATATTTTCACATGAATTAGGTGTTTAATGATTTACACAATAGAAAAATATATATTGTAAATGATTCAGCACACTGTCAGAAATAAACGTCTCCATGAAAATGTGAGCTCATGAACATTGACCCTAAGACTTATAATAAGATCTTCAAGCATTACAGCAGGCATGCATCTCATTTCCTAAAGAACGTTATCTAATTTTCAACAAGGCTATCTAGAAACTCACCCGAGAACTTTTCACTCTACTGACTACATCCCTGATGTTCATGATGTCTGAAAGCAGGAAGTTGCCCCACTGTGAATGATAGAGATTATATCACTGAGTCTACATAACAGCAGCATTATGGCAAGCACTCCTGTCTCTACCTTCTTTCTTATTTCTGAAAATGCGGTCAGAAGATTTACGGGACTGATCGCGTGTCGCTGCCACACCATTACAGCTATGGTTTTTGTAGTGTCTTATGTCAGAAAAGCCCTTTCCACATCTCTTGCAATAGTAAGGCCTCACTCCAGTGTGGACTTGCATGTGGGCTTTGACGTTGTTGGCTTGGCTGAAACCTCTCCCGCAGACATCACATTTGAATGGCTTCTCTCCTGTGTGGACTCGCTCATGCCTTTTGAGATTGGTGTTGACTGCAAAAGTCTTGTCACAATAGCTACATTTGAAGGGCTTTTCACCTGTATGGGTACGCTCATGTCCTTCAAGAGCTTGCTTAAGAACAAATTTCTTGTCACAGTATTTACAAGCGTAGGGCTTCACTCCATTGTGAAGTCTCATGTGATAGTCAAAAGTATGTTTATAGGCAAAGGTCTTTCCGCAAATGGAACAAGAGTATTGCGTTTGTTCCGTGTGAATTCGTTGATGGTTTTTCAGAGTTAGCATGGAGCTGAAGCTGTTCAAACATATGTCACAACTGAATGGCTTTGTTGAGGTTCCTGGTCTCTTGGCAGTTCTCGTTCGCTCTTTTCTCTTTCGTTCTCTCTGCTTCTCTCCTTCAGCTGTGTGCCATTTGAGATGGTGTCGTCTCATTTGAAAATTGTACATAAAAGTCTTCCCACATAGGTCACACATAAATGGTTTGGTTGCCCCATGACGGTGCATGTGAGCTTTTAGGTCGGTGGACTGAAGGTAGCTTTTTCCACACACTATACATTTGTACGGTCTCTCTCCTGTGTGAAGCACTTGGTGTCTCACAAGGTTTCCTTTATGGCCGAAAGCAGCTCCACATGTCTCACATGTAAATGCCTTCTCCCCTGTGTGAACAACCATGTGGTTTTTGAGGCTGCTGCTTGTCACAAAGCTCTTACCACACTCAGAACATGAGTGTGGACGTACACCTGTATGTCTTCGCATATGAATATTTAGGCCACCATGCTGTCTGTAACTCTTCCCACATACAGCACAGCTGTATGGTTTTTCACCGGTGTGGATTCTCTCGTGCTCGATAAGCAGAGCCCTTGATGTGAAACCCTTTTCACAAGTCAGGCACTTGAACGGTCTCTCCACTGCATGAACAAGCTGATGTCGTTTCAGATCTTTCTTGGTAGACAATGCATTTCCACAGACTTTGCAACTGAATGTTTTTTCTCTGTGACGCAACATGTGATGTTCAAGCTGCTTAGACATTCTGAATGTTTTGCCACATTGACCACAAGCGAATGGCCTCTCTCCTGTGTGAATTAGCATATGACGTACCAGCATGCGGTTCAGACAGAAGTTCTTCTCACAAACGTCACACTTGAAGGGTATTGTGTTACTTAGCTTGTGAGCTTCCAGTGACCCCTTCCTGCTGAATGTCTTTTCACAAACATCACACTTGAAGGGTCTTGTGTGAGTTAGCTTGTGTTGTACCAGCAGGTTGTTCCGGCTGAAGGTCTTCTCACAAACATCACACTTGAAGCATTTGGATTCTTTGAATCGTATCCCTTTAGTAGTATGGCTGTTTATCTGGCTTTCCTGGCAGTCTCTCTCGTTGCCCTCTGGCAGAGCAGCTCTCATATGCTCAACGTTGGATTCAGTGTCTCTTGGGGAGGGGTCTGTATTCAGTCCATCTGTGTCTCCCAGAGAGGAGTCACACTCCAATGAAGACATCTCTGTGGGCTTACTGCAAACCTTTGCAGGACCTAAAGATAAGGAATATGAGCATATACACATTATAAAACTATAAATTAAAACAGGTTTTTCAAATGTGAGGATTATACAAAACTAATTTCATTTATTGAAAGTAAGTAGCCTTGTCTGTGCCACCACGGCCCATAAGTCCAGAGCCTATGGAGTCGAGCTGGGCGATATGGCCTAAAAATCACATCTCTATTTTTTCAAATTTATGGGCGATTCACTATAGATATATATATACAGTGAGGGAAAAAATATTTGATCCCCTGTTGATTTTGTACGTTTGCCCACTGACAAAGACATGATCAGTCTATAATTTTAATGGTAGGTTTATTTGAACAGTGAGAGACAGAATAACAACAAAGAAATCCAGAAAAACGCATGTCAAAAATGTTATAAATTGATTTGTATTTTAAATGAGGGAAATAAGTATTTGACCCCTCTGCAAAACATGACTTAGTACTTGGTGGCAAAATCCTTGTTGGCAATCACAGAGGTCAGACGTTTCTTGTAGTTGGCCACCAGGTTTGCACACATCTCAGGAGGGATTTTGTCCCACTCCTCTTTGCAGATCTTCACCAAGTCATTAAGGTTTTGAGGCTGACGTTTGGCAACTCGAACCTTCAGCTCCCTCCACATATTTTCTATGGGATTAAGGTCTGGAGACTGGCTAGGCCACTCCAGGACCTTAATGTGCTTCTTCTTGAGCCACTCCTTTGTTGCCTTGGCCGTGTGTTTTGGGTCATTGTCATGCTGGAATACCCATCCACGACCCATTTTCAATGCCCTGGCTGAGGGAAGGAGGTTCTCACCCAAGATTTGATGGTACATGGCCCCGTCCATCCTCCCTTTGATGCGGTGAAGTTGTCCTGTCCCCTTAGCAGAAAAACACCCCCAAAGCATAATGTTTCCACCTCCATGTTTGACGGTGGGGATGGTGTTCTTGGGGTCATAGGCAGCATTCCTCCTCCTCCAAACACGGCGAGTTGAGTTGATGCCAAAGAGCTCCATTTTGGTCTCATCTGACCACTTTCACCCAGTTCTCCTCTGAATCATTCAGATGTTCATTGGCAAACTTCAGACGGGCCTGTATATGTGCTTTCTTGAGTAGGGGGACCTTGCGGGCGCTGCAGGACTTCAGTCCTTCACAGCGTAGTGTGTTTCCAATTGTTTTCTTGGTGACTATGGTCCCTGCTGCCTTGAGATCATTGACAAGATCCTCCCGTGTAGTTCTGGGCTGATTCCTCACCGTTCTCATGATCATTGCAACTCCACGAGGTGAGATCTTGCATGGAGCCCCAGGCCGAGGGAGATTGACAGTTATTTTGTGTTTCTTCCATTTGCGAATAATCGCACCAACTGTTCTCACCAAGCTGCTTGGCGATGGTCTTGTAGCCCATTCCAGCCTTGTGTAGGTCTACAATCTTGTCCCTGACATCCTTGGAGAGCTCTTTGGTCTTGGCCATGGTGGAGAGTTTGGAATCTGATTGACTGATTGCTTCTGTGGACAGGTGTCTTTTATACAGGTAACGAGCTGAGATTAGGAGCACACTCTTAAAGGGAGTGCTCCTAATCTCAGCTTGTTACCTGTATAAAAGACACCTGGGAGCCAGAAATCTTTCTGATTGAGAGGGGGTCAAATACTTATTTCCCTCATTAAAATCCAAATTAATGTATAACATTTTTGACATGCGTTTTTCTGGATTGTTTTGTTGTTATTCTGTCTCTCACTGTTCAAATAAACCTACCATAAAAATTATAGACTGATCATTTCTTTGTCAGTGGGCAAACGTACAAAATCAGCAGGGGATCAAATACTTTTTTCCCCTCACTGTGTGTGTGTGTGTGTGTGTGTGTGTGTGTGTGTGTGTGTATGTATGTATGTATGTATATATATATAGAGAGAGAGATTTTAAAAAGTCCTCTAAATAAGCTTTGTTGTACAATTAAAAGGTAAAATAGACTGCATTTCAAACAGTCAGCAATAATCTAATGACTTCAGGACTTCTGAAGTTATACCTAGGCTAAAAATCCTTCCACAACCATAAGACACACTAATAATGTCATTATTTTATCAAAGTGCACACAGCACAGGATGAGCGAAGGAGACCAAGAAGACAAATGCTCATAAAAATGGGAAATAAATTCAAACCTAGATTCTTGCGATACAGGCATTTGGAACGTCGCACTAACACACGCATTTGAAATAATAGAATGAATTCGATATATTGCCTTGCCCTACTATAGAGCTAATTTCTATGTAGCATGAGGCATCTTGATATACAAATACACTAGCTGGACAGGACGCTAGTCAAATTTCGTTAATCAAATAACTCTACCAATATATGGAAATCTAAATATTTGTTTACATGAGCATTAAAATCAACATACTTTGACCGGTGTTTCCTCCGACACATTGGTGCGGCTGGCTTCCGGGTTAAGCAGGCAGGTGTTAAGAAGCGCGATTTGGCGGGTCATGTTTCGGAGGACGCATGACTCGACCTTCGTCTCTACCGAGCCCGTTGGGGAGTTGCAGCAATGAGACAAGATCGTAATTGGATCGCAATTGGATATCACGAAATTGGGGAGAAGGGGGTAAAATAAAAAATTAACAAAAAATAATATTAATATATACTACATCATCTAAATTTCATTCAAAATTCAATTAAAATAAAAAATATTTTACAAAAATACAATTGCTCTGGTTTGTTTTAAATCTGAAGCGAATAGCCTACAGTTGGGAAGTAGGGTTGTGACAAAAATGAAAGCACGAAGCAGACCAAACTCTTTGGTCCTTTAAGAAGCTGCTGTATGTAAAATGTGTGCTATAGCTTGGAAAATAAATACATGTGACTGAGAACATAATAGTCCTAGGCGTATCACAATTTTCCAAAATACAATCATGGGGAAAACACAAAAGACAGAAAAAACTCAAATGTAACTCTCAAATTGAGTGAACAGTAGGCCTATAGCCTATTGCTAGTGGAGAGCATCGCCCATTTACCCGGTGAGTGTGCATACTCACTGTCTTTATCATTGGGTGAGTCCGTGCAACTGGAAAGTTATTTTTAGGACAGTATAATTTCCTCCTCCAGGCTAGATGGATGTCAATCCCCTTTTCGTAGGCCTAGATTAGATGATTGCATTCAGGATGAGGTCGTTTTTATTGATATCAGTTTTTTAGTGTCAGCAGAGTAGGGTACCCTGTCATAATCGCATGAAATGTGTTTATAAAAGGCCATATTTTTCCCAGATCCTCCTAGGAAATGTTCCTTTAGCTGGGGCTGAGCTCCGAATGTGTGCAAAGATAGAAAAGCATTGTTCAGAATGCTATTTTTTGTGAACAGTGAGTTATTATATTCCTAATTTATGACTATCCAACCACATTTTGAATATTAGGCTATTTTACATTAGTCTGCAAATGTGATGATAAATACAAAAATAGCGTCCCCAAACTAGAAACTCACTCGCCGCATATGCTCTTTCCATTTTGGCCCATTTGCTTCCTTTTGGTTCCTAGTGAATAAGACCCTGGTTTGGTAACCATTATTCAAAATAAAATCATTTTAAGGATTACCTGCAGAGACCGACATTGCGTTAGTGACCGGGTTTGCTTGACTGACATTCCCTGGCAATGTTGAAGCCGCTGTCATTCCAGGCAACATTGGTAGATCTAAAACATAACAAGCATACTCGCATTTTAACTTTCTTTCCACAAAATGGTGTGTGATGTAAGTAATGTAGGCCTAAATTGATACAAAAGAACATCAACAGGCCAAGGACTAATAGCTAACTTGCTAGCTATAGATAAAGCATAGGCAGTAATGAATGTAGGCTAGCTAAGTAGCTAGCTAGGTCTATAACACTCACCAACTGGTGGTATTGCAAAAATCATTCCATTGAGCAGAATATGCGTGGGTCCTTTCGGTTCTGCTTGAGCCTTCATTTTAGCCAGTGACGTTCTATAATGTTCAGCCTTCTCAGTCATTGCCTTCATATCTTCATTCATCTGCTCCACCTTGGTCTTCATATCTTCATTTATCTGCTCCACCTTGGTCTTCATATCTTCCTCCATCTGCTCCACCTTGGTTTTCAGTTTCTCGTTTTCATTTTGTAAACTTGAGGAGGACACTAGGAATAGTTGGCAAATTTTACGAATAGCCTCCCCTGTCACCAGATTCATAATTGTGCAAAGCTGTGAAGAGAAATTGAAAAAAAGGTTACCTAAGTAGCTAGCTGTGCAGCCAGCTACGCTGAAATGAGGATATGAAACCAGTAAGTTAGCTAACTAGATGGGCTAGCAATAGAGCTCGCCAGCTTGTAGTCATAGAAAATGGAAATAAGTTACCTCTGGTTTGTTCAGCCATTCCTATGGGGAAAGAATAGGGTTTTGAAATAAACACAGAACAAAAGGTCTGAGGTTAACACAGGCTTAGGGGATCTTATAGGTTTTGTTCTATGATATAATATTAGTCAGTTAACCTGGCCTTTATGAACTATGAAGCCTTTGTGCTTTTTCTGATGACAAACACTTCAAAATTCACAAAAAGTAAAGTTAGCTGATTAAGATTATCTCATAGAACAAAACTTATACGATCTCCTAAGCCTGTGTTTACCACAGACCTAACTTCTGCCGTTTATCCAAAAACCCTACAAAAAACTCCATTCATTTCCCCATAGGCTTTGACTAACGAACCCATGGCGGTGTTTATGCCTACAAAAAGATGACATTACCAAAGACAGTACAGCATGAAGATAGGCAGAAACTGCTTCTCCAATAGAAATCCCGATCACGCTTGTAGGCGATGTCATGGTGACGTTGGCTAGTTAAGCACATGCGCAGAAACACGTCATTGGATCTAACGGTCGTCTCGCGCAATACTGCTCACGTGCAGGCCGTCAAATCAAAAGCACTCCTTCGATATATAAAGCTGTTTTTGACTAAAATTAAAACATGTCAGTTTGTCACTTTCACGAGGTTGGTGTAATAACATGTTCAACTACTTAAGACAATGGCTCAAATCTAGGTTGTGCCTTTAGATTTGGAAGAAGTTTTCACTTCTCTCATTGACTTCTCAAACCCCAAACCAGTCTGCTTAATCTGTTTCGCAAGTGTTCCCGGAAGTCTCGCGATGTTGCGCCTCTGGGTTTAGAAACTCTGACATTACTATTGAATAAACAGAATATTCCTCATTTAAGTTAATATGGGTTCAATTGAATAGTAATTGAAATATGGACACTGACTGTAGGCCTATAACCTCATGTAGCATAATATAATATTAACTTCTGCAGAATTATGCATTTCTTGCAGTAAAATTATACAACAAATGTTTATTTTTTCTCGGGAACAGAAGTGGAGAAATATGATTTATTTATTTCGGCATCTCTTGAGAAAATGCGAATGCGCGTGTAATATGTTATATTTGACACTTATGCAGACAGTATTTCAACCACATAAAATATGCACCCAAGACAAACTTAAGTCTTATCAGAAACGTGTTTCATCGTTTTCCCAGCTTTTCATTTCCTTAAAACCAGTCAAACTGATGACATTTGGACATTTTGCACAGGACCAACCTTTCCACTGTTTGAGTTAATGCGTTCTCTCTCCGGTCCCTAAACAAAACCTCCAACTTTACCAGTGTTAACTACATTTCTAGGGAGCAATACTTTAGTCTTCTGGGGCAACAAGTTATGACAGAAGAGAAGCTGCATGTATCAAACTATAGTTGACAAACAAATAGCCTACCAAATGTCGGAAATAAGCAGAAAGTTGTCTAAATTGGGGGTGAAAGTAGCCAGTAGGCTATATGGTCCAGTACAGAGTATCAGCAAAATAAATTATGAAATGATGTAGATCGAACTGCACAGGTAGCCTACTTTTTGAAGCGATTTGTTTGAAAACATCACACAACACCCATGCATGATATGCGAAACGTGATAAGATGTTTACATGCCACAGTATCATGTCTAAGATCAGCATATACCAGGCATCTTACCCAGGTTTCTCATAACCGGGATACAAGCTTTTTCGGGTTATTGTAAACGTGATATGATGTTTACATGTGTCAACTTAAAAACAGAATACTTGAGTATCCCCGAATAATAACGGGATATTGGTGTATATGTAAATGTGGTCAATGAGAGAAGTGAAAAATTCTTCCTTAGTTGTTCATTTTCTCAAAATCTAAAAAGGCACAATCCGGTGACACTGCTTCTTAAAAGTCCAATACCTTGATAACTTGACCGCTGACATGCAAAACATTTAGGAACTCTATCAACAGTGGACTAATGAAAATAAATACCAAAAAAGTTTGAGTGAAATGTTCCTTTAAGTAGTAGAACATGTTATTACTCAGACCTCCTGAAAGTTACAAACCGACACGTTTTCGTCCAAAACAACTTTATATTGAAGGAGTGCCTTTGATTTGACAGCCTGCACATGAGCAGTTAGGCGTGGGATGACCATCAGACCCGATGACGTGTTTCTGCTCATGAGCTTAATGGTGCTTTCAAGCCAACTGGTGGTGCTTTCAAGATAGCTGGAACTGGTCAATTTTTCAGAGTCAGAGCTTGTTTTTTCCCCAGTTCCCAGTTGTTTTGAACACACTGAAGTCGAAAGTCTGAGATTTCCGAGATCCCAGTTCCCAGTTGTTTTGAACACAGCATGGGAACTTTGATGAAAAATACAAGGTCAAATCATGATGTCAGTGATCTTCAGGTCGGAAAGTCTGAGCTCTAGAAAGAGGAACGAGTTCCTGAGTTGGAATTCCAAATTGAAGTCTAAAGTCTGATATTTCCGAGTTCCCAGTTATTTTGAACGCGGCATTGCTAGCCAAAGTCACATTGACATCGCTTACAAGCACGATCGGGGATTTCTATTGGAGAAGCAGTTTCTGTCCATCTTCATACTGTATGGTCTTTGTTGTTGCTCTCTATAAGTAGAGCTAGTTAGCTAACTTGCCATAGTTACACCAAAGATTATCATAGTGGATAAACTACTCGGGCTCCCGAGTGGCGCAGCGGTCTAAGGCACTGCATTTCAGTGCATGAGGCGTCACTACAGACCCCCTGGTTCGATTCCAGGCTGTATCACAACCGGCTGTGATTGGGAGTCCCATAGGGCGGCGCACAATTGGCCGAGCGTCGTCCGGATTTGGCCGGTGTAGGCCGTCATTGTAAATAAGAATTTGTTCTTAACTCACTTGCCTAGTTAAATAAAGATACAATTTAAAAATGATAATGGGTAACGTTATACTGACAAGATACTTGTCTCTCCGCCCAAACAACGAGAGTCGTTGCCCACAAAGCGATACTTTTTTCAATATTCGTTGAGGGTTAACGTCAACCGCCTGTATTCAATGGAGAGAGATGCTATGCTACTAGGCCTCATGCTATAAATATGTATAGCCATCTGGAGACAACTCTAATAACGTTTTTTATCTCAAAGTTGCGGGTCTGTCACGTGTCCTACTTATATCAGTACACTCGTAACAACCTATGAACATTACGGCATTTCTAATCAAATAAATCTCACATAGCAAATAAGCCATTCACTTTTTTGATGACCAAATTCGACACTCCTTGACCTCACACAAAAACTCCTTGCTTGCTTGGTTGGCGAAAAAACGCCACATGCCGGAGGGAGACTGACTTTCCGCCGAGTTAGGCATCCCTTTACCTCTTCCTCTCTGCTACCAGACAACGTAACGTATAAGCACATATTTTTTTAATCATTGTTCTGTGGTATAACATTAGCTAGTTAGCTAAAGTTAGACGTTACGTAGCTTTTTCAACGCTGTCCGCCATGTACCAATGATTGTAGTCAGAGATCCATAGTCTTTGCTGTAGTACAATTTGCGCTGTATCCTACAGCTGTCAGCTACTCACCTCTCTCTCCGGATTACTAACGTTCGGGTAAGAGTTTGGAACTGAGGGCAGAAATCGGCTAATTTCTGTCATTGTCGTCTCGACGACAACGGCCATAATCGATGTTGTTTCTAACTGAAACATATTGTAACAAGCTGTAGCCATTTTGCGCTCAGACTGACTCATTCGCATAGAATACGAACCAAGCACGCTAACCATCTAGGCAGCCAACATTGGCAGCTCCTGGTGCAAAAATAAATAAAACCTCGCCTTTCTACAATGTATATAATTAAAACGTGATTTTAAACTTAACCACACTGCTAACCTTAAATTAAGGCAGACAATTTTGTGGCGTACTATCTAGTGGAAACCCAGCACTTGCCAGCATTGAAGCTAGTTCAAATTTGGTCACGTGATCATGCGCCTAATTTTCTAAATAAAAGTCCCCCTGACTTTTATTTATTTATTTTTATTGACTATTACCTTTGTGGTTTTCTGATTTAAAAAAACACAATGATCGTTTGAACTTAAACATACATTTATTGAAATGCAAACAAATGTTTAAATCAATTATCAAAGTTATACTGTATTTAATAGTATATTGGTGATGCTTTTAATTATAATCCCCTGTGAAAAACAACAACACTGTTGGAGGTTTTAAAAGTTAACTACTGTCAAACAGGATTAATTTGTTTGAAGAGAACATTTTCATACCCACACGTTTGCTTCTGTACCGTTTCAAACTATAGAAGTTGTTCAAGTGAATGGGGTGTTTCAGAATCCTCAGACCCTCCACTAATAGTGCCGCGTTCAAGACAACTAGAAGATGTCCGACTTGGAAACAGTGTCGAAAGATGATCTCAGTTTCCCACTAGGAAAGTATTAGAATCAACAAATAGGAAGCTCTATGCAAAAAAACATATGCACATTTTAATTCGGAGGTTCCGAGGTGTCTTGAAAGCACCATAGGATCCAGTGTAGCAGGTAGCCTAGCAATTAAAAGCGTTGGGCCAGTAATAATAAATAATAATAATATGCCATTTAGCAGACGCTTTTATCCAAAGCGACTTACAGTCATGCGTGGATACATTTTTGTGTATGGGTGGTCCCGGGGATCGAACCCACTACCTTGGCGTTACAAGCGCCGTGCTCTACCAGCTGAGCTACAGAGGACCAGTAACTGAAAGGTTGCTGGTTGGGATCTCCGGCCAACTAGATGAAAAATCTATCCAAATAACCCTAATTGCTCCTGTAAGTCGCTCTGGATAAGAGTGTCTGCTAAATAACTCAAATGTGTCAAACCATTCAAGTTTGCATCATTTGGGGCGTTTTTATGGGGTACAGCTACTGTCACCTGAACCTAGATGAATGCAGGATGATGGTCAAGCTAAAACAAAAGATTCTGAATCAATGGACTTGAAAACCATGTCAGTGGAGGAAATATATATTTTTGTCTATCAAAGTGGAATCAATTGATGAAAACAAGATCATTATGGAACATCAAACTAGTCACTTAGATACAGATCATGGTGTTGACCATCATGAAAACTGAAACGAGTCACTTAGATACAGATCATGATGTTGATAATCAGACAGACGCTCAGACAGAGGATGAAGGTGTCAGATTACCAATAAAGACTGATCAAAAACAAAGTCAAGACTCAACATCAATGGTCTTAGAAACCATGCCAATAGAGGACATGGATTTTCAGCTTTTCTAAGTGGAATTAATTGTTGAAAACAAGATGAGTACAGCAACTCAAACTTGTAACCTAAATAATGATTATGATGTAGAAAATTCTGATAATAACAAAACATAGCTCAAACAGAGGATGGGAGTGTCAGGTCATCAGTAAATGTAGAGGTGAAATAAATTCAACATTCTAAACCATGACAATGGACCTAAATCCGCTGCTGTCCATCAGAATTGAATCAACAGATGAAAGTTAATTCCTCACAAGAGGATCTATTGCTCAATGGCAATTGTACACTGAGTGCAGAAAACATTAAGGGCACCTACTCTTTCCATGACATACAGTCCATTCGGGAAAAAATAAAGGGAACACAAACAACACATCCTAGATCTGAATGAATGAAATAATCTTATTAAATACATTTTCTTTACATAGTTGAATGTGCTGACAACAAAATCACACAAAAATTATCAATGGAAATCAAATTTATCAACCCATGGAGGTCTGGATTTGGAGTCACCCTCAAAATTAAAGTGGAAAACCACACTACAGGCTGATCCAACTTTGTAATGTCCTTAAAACAAGTCAAAATGAGGCTCAGTAGTGTGTGTGGCCTCCACGTGCCTGTATGACCTCCCTACAACGCCTGGGCATGCTCCTGATGAGGTGGCGGATGGTCTCCTGAGGGATCTCCTCCCAGACCTGGACTAAAGCATCCGCCAACTCCTGGACAGTGTGGTGCAACGTGGCGTTGGTGGATAGAGCGAGACATGATGTCCCAGATGTGCTTAATTGGATTCAGGTCTGGGGAACGGGCGGGCCAGTCCATAGCATCAATGCCTTCCTCTTGCAGGAACTGCTGACACACTCCAGCCACATGAGGTCTAGCATTATCTTGCATTAGGAGGAACTCAGGGCCAACCGCACCAGCATATGGTCTCACAAGGGGTCTGAGGATCTCATCTCGGTACCTAATGGCAGTCAGGCTACCTCTGGCGAGCACATGGAGGGCTGTGCGGCCCCCCAAAGAAATGCCACACCACACCATGACTGACCCACCGCCAAACCGGTCATGCTGGAGGATGTTGCAGGCAGCAGAACGTTCTCCACGGCGTCTCCAGACTGTCATGTGCTCAGTGTGAACCTGCTTTCATCTGTGAAGAGCACAGGGCGCCAGTTGCGAATTTGCCAATCTTGGTATTCTCTGGCAAATGCCAAACGTCCTGCACGGTGTTGGGCTGTAAGCACAACCCCCACCTGTGGACGTCGGGCCCTCATACCACCCTCATGGAGTCTGTTTCTGACCGTTTGAGCAGACACATGCACATTTGTGGCCTGCTGGAGGTCATTTTGCAGGGCTCTGGCAGTGCTCCTCCTTGCACAAAGGCGGCGGTAGCAGTCCTGCTGCTGGGTTGTTGCCCTCCTACGGCCTCCTCCACGTCTCCTGATGTACTGGCCTGTCTCCTGGTAGCGCCTCCATGCTCTGGACACTACGCTGACAGACACAGCAAACCTTCTTGCCACAGCTCGCATTGATGTGCCATCCTGGATGAGCTGCACTACCTGAGCCACTTGTGTGGGTTGTAGACTCCGTCTCATGCTACCACTAGAGTGAAAGCACCGCCAGCATTCAAAAGTGACCAAAACATCAGCCAGGAAGCATTGGAACTGAGAAGTGGTCTGTGGTCACCACCTGCAGAACCACTTCTTTATTGGGGGTGTCTTGCTAATTGCCTATAATTTCCACCTGTTGTCTATTCCATTTGCACAACAGCATGTGACATTTATTGTCAATCAGTGTTGCTTCCTAAGTGGACAGTTTGATTTCACAGAAGTGTGACTGACTTGGAGTTACATTGTGTTGTTTAAGTGTTCCCTTTATTTTTTTGAGCAGTGTATATAATAGTTAAATATCACATTTACGTAAGTATTCAGACCCTTTACTCAGTACTTTGTTGAAGCACCTTTGGCAGCCTTGAGTCTTCTTGGGTATGATGCTACAAGCTTGGCACACCTGTATTTGGGGCGTTTCTCCCAATCTTCTCTGCAAATCCTCTCAAGCGCTTGTCAGGTTGGATGGGGAGTGTCACTGCACAGCTATTTTCAGGACTCTCTAGATGTTAGATCGGGTTCAAGTACGGGCTCTGGCTGGGCCACTCAAGGACATTCAGAGACTTGTCCCGAAGCCACTCCTGCGTTAGCTTGGCTGTGTGCTTAGGGTCGTTGTCCTGTTGGAAAGTGAACCTTCGCCCCAGTTTGAAGTCCTGAGCAGGTTTTCATCAAGGATCTCTCTGTACTTTGCTCCGTTAATCTTTGCCTCGATCCTGACTAGTCTCCCAGTCCCTGCTGCTCAAAAACACCCCCACAGCATGATGCTGCCACCACCATGCTTCACCGTAGGGATGGTGCAAGGTTTCCTCCAGATGTGACGCTTGGCATTCAGGCCAAAGAGTTCAATCTTGGTTTCATCAGACCAGAGAATCTTGTTTATCATGGTCTGAGTGTCTTTATGTGCCTTTTGGCAAACTCGCAAGGGGGCTGTCATGTGCCTTTTACTGAGGAGTGGCTTCCGTCTGGCCACTCTACCATTAAGGCCTGATTGGTGGAATGCTGGAGAGATGGTTGTCCTTCTGGAAGGTTCTCCCATCTCCAAAGAGGAACTCTGGAGCTCTGTCAAAGTGACCATCGGGTTCTTGGTCACCTCCCTGACCAAGGCTCTTCTCCCCCAATTGCTCAGCTCTAGGAAGAGTCTTGGTGGTTCCAATCTTCTTCCATTTAAGAATGATGGAGGCCATAGTGTTCTTGGGGACCTTCAATGCTGCAGACATTTTTTGGTACCCTTCCCCAGATCTGTGCCTTGACACAATCCTGTCTCGGAGCTCTATGGACAATTCCTTCGACCTCATGGCTTGGTTTTTGTTCTGACATGCACTGTTAACTGTGGGACGTTATATAGACAGGTGTGTGCCTTTCCAAATCATGTCCAATCAATTGTATTTACCACAGGTGGACTCCAATCAAGTTGTAGAAACATCTCAAGAATGATCAATGGAAACAGGATGCACCTGAGCTCAATTTCGAGTCTCATAGCAAAAGGTCTGAATACTTACGTAAATAAGGTATGTTTTTAATACATTTGTAAAAATTTCTAAAAACCTGTTTTCACTTTGTCATTTTGGGGTATTGTGTGTAGATTGATGAGGAAAAACATGTATTTAATACATTTTAGAATATGGCTGTAACATAACAAAATGTGGACAAAGTCAAGGGGTCTGAATACTTTCCGAATGCGCTGTACCAGGGATCATCAACTAGATTCAGCCGCATGCCGATTTCTTTCTTGAGCGGATGGTCGGGTGGCCGGAACATAATTAAAAATAATTTGTAGATGTCAAATTGACTGCAAGAAGCCCAAACATATATAATATTTCACTAAAACAATCTCAAAACTTGCTTACATTTCTATACGATCACGTCTCTCTGTTGTGTGGG